GCAGCCGCGGCCCCGCAGCTCCGCCCCCGGCCCGGCCCGGCCCCGGGCCCTCTCGCCCGCCGCCCCGCATGGAGCTGTCAGCCATCGGCGAGCAGGTGTTCGCCGTGGAGAGCATCCGGAAGAAGCGCGTGCGGAAGGTGAGGCTGCCCGGGGGCGGCTCCCAGGACCCCTGTGGGGTCCCTTCCTGTCCCCAGCACTGTTCCCTCCACGCTGGAGGCGAGGGAGAAAGTGAGGCGAGTGGGCCCAGGCAGCCCCTCGCTGCCGGACTCGTATCCCCCCAGCCCGTGCCTCAGTTTCCCCTGCCACCTTGTAGGGCGAGTAATATAAAAGTTGTCGCCCCAGCATGCTGGGGGCAGCTGAACCCGCCAGAGCTGGAGATTAGGATCGGATTGTCGGGATCCTGAATGCCATCCTTTCTCATCCTCCCCTCATTCCAAATATGGGGAGACTGAGGCCCAAACTGAAGAAACGGCTTGCCTCGTAGGTACGTGTCGGAGCTGGGTCTTGAACACAGGACTCTGGATTCTTGGTGCCAAGTCCTTTGAAGTTGGAGGCGGAGCTTTGGAAAAGCCTCCTCCAGCCTCTTAAGTCTAACTGCCAGACTTCGACCTTTTCCGATCCCCTCCACACCCCCACCTCCACGTGTCTCCCCCTCTTCCAGTGCACACCCCTCTGTCTTCCCCACCCCAACTCCCAGCCCCTCTCGGCAGGGCTCAGTGAAGCCGCCTACAGCTCCTGGGCATCCTGGAAGCTCCTCCCCCTTCGCCTTCGCCTCCGCCTCCAAAACATACACGCTGCAATTTAAGGAGGCTTCTGTTCCGCTTGGTTCGGTCCCCACGCCTGCAGGCTGGACTTTGGTCGTGCACACTTCCTGTGCACACGTTTGCAAAGTGGTCTGGCCCCAGACTGGAGGTTGGGAATGGAAGTCTTTGGGGAAAGTTCCTGTCCCGGCTCTCACCACCGTCCTTTGCCCTTATCTCCTCTCTGCAGCCCCTTGGGAGGCTCCAGCGGCAGGGCTGGGAGGGGTCTTAGAGTTCATCTCTTCACATTTGACAAAGACACAAACTGAGGCCTGGGCTGGAGAAGTGACCTGGTCAAGGTCACACAGCAAGTTAGAGATGGTGGTAGAGCAGGAGCTCCAGTTGGCTGATTGCCAGTTCATCTTTCAAGAGAGAAAACTCAGTCCTGGCATGTTGGGCTAAGGGCGACAGTCAGGGTGAGCCAGGACCTTCTTTTCTTCCCCCAGCTTCAGTGGGGTTGCTTTCTGTCTTCAAGTCAGGGCTGCCCCTCCTCCTTCTCCCTTCCCCAGGGTTTCCTCGATTTTAATTTATTCCGAAAAGCCCAGTGCTTTCCATGCTGTAGCCTAAGCAGGTACAATAATTACCCTCCTTCTACATGGGGCCTGAGGGGGTAGAGCCAGGAACATCATTCCTTTAGCTATTCATTCAAAATAAAGTCATTGAGGATCTGTTAGGTACCAGGCACTATTCTAACCCCCAGGGAGGGAGCTCCTTCCCTCATGGAGCTGGCATCCTGGCAGAGGAGACACAGTGAAAGAAAATACAGATGCCTTCCAACTAGGCTGTGTTGGGAAGAGAACTGTAAGGTAGGAGGGAGGTTATTAGGAAGGGTGGCCAGGGCAGGCCTCTGAGGAGGTGGATGTGTCTTGGACCAGTGTGGAAGGGTATCACCCATCAGACAGGGAACTTTTAAAGGCCCCTGTCATTTCCTGTGTCACCTATGAGGAAGGAAGGAAACTGGCTTTATTTTCTAACTACTGGAGAGGTGATCATCCTGTCTCAAGGTGAAGATTTTGTCAGCTTTCTCTAGGGGCCTGCCAGGGTCAGGGTTGAGAGTGGGTTTCGAGTTGGAGTCACTGGCCTGTCACCTCTGCGCCAGAGGCAGCCTCTCATAGGGAGGGGGCTTACGGGGCTAGAGCCATGTGGGACACCCCAGGGAGGAGTTTTCTAGGACTTGGAGAGTCTTCTGATCTAAAAAGGAAAGAGAATTGTGGTCTTAGCGCTGGGACACTGGACACTGGGTCTCTGGCCACACACATCCCCACGGGGTCTCGGTTTCCCTACACAAGGCGAGCTCCATGCTCCTGCCACAGAAGCCCAAGAGGTGACTGGGGCCCAGTGCACTCCTGTGCTCTAGTAGGGAGGACAGTCTAGGGTGGTTATGCAGCAGCCAAAGTTTGGGGATCTCTGGTTGGTGGAGATCTGGTGGGGGGGTCCCTGACTATATGTTAGGGGACATCTGTCTGCAGAGGGGATTGGGCCTTACTATCCTACGAGCGGTCATAGGGGCATCTGTGTATCTCACCATGTCTCCTTCTGTCTCTTTCTTCCAGGGTAAAGTCGAATATCTGGTGAAGTGGAAAGGATGGCCCCCAAAGTAAGTCTCCTTTGTGTGTGAGTGTCTGCCTGCCTGTACTTCCTCCCATCCACCTTTTACCCTCTCTCCTGCCTAGCTTTTCACTCCCACTGCCGTAGTAATGGCCAGCAGACCTTGATTAAATCGCCATCTTCTCTGGGCCTCAATTTCCCCTCTGCCAGTTGAGGGCCTTGAAGCACATGAGGGTCAAGGTGGGCCACCCTCAGAGTCGCCCTCCATCTTCTGGTTGGATCTGGGCTCCCCTGGCACCTGGGATGTGAAGGCCCAGCATCTTGGTTTCAGAGATGGCTGCCTGCAAGGTGGAGGGGCCCTCAAACTACAGCAAGTACTGTGCCAGGTGGCTGTTCGTGGGGTTAGGCAAGACAAGTCTAGCCAGTGGGGCACCAGTCCTCAGTGCCATAGAGCTAGGGACAGAGCCAGTCTACCGAGTAGGTTCTGGTACAGCCTTGTGAGGCAGCTGTGGTCCTGATCTATAACGATGAGGAAACAGGCCTAGAGAATGTAGGCAGCTTGCCTTAGGTCACACAGCCAGTGGAGGCAGACTTGACCTGGGCCTCTCCACTTTAAGGTATCTCTTCTGTGCGTCCTCCATCTCCCAGTTAGGGGGCAGGGAGCTGGGTCCAGGACCTCTCCCAGGTGCTCCACCTTCCTGCTAAGGCCCAATCAGGAATCCCCTCACCAACCACTCACCTCCCAGCAGGGAGTTGTTGGGACTAGGAAAGGAATGAGCAGGTGCTGGGGCCTCCTCTTGGTCTATGGGTGTCCCACCTCCCTGCCCTGCCTCCTGGAGACTGACTCCTGGAATCCCCCTCTGCCCAGAGCTCTGCTGTCTGTGCTAGTGCTGTTCTGCTTTGCTGATGGGTGGGGGAGGGGGGGTGACTAGGTATTGGGTCCTGGGAGTGTCTTGGACACGTGATAGTGAGAGGCAGCAGGGGGGAAGACAGCTCATGCTGCCTCAACTTCCCTGTTTGCAAAATGGGTTCAATAGCCCAGGCCCTGCTCTCTCGCTTTGTGCAGTGAAAGGCCTGGGGCATATTCAGGATGGCCTGCAGGGATTCTGATGATTAGGTTTGATGGCTGGCCAACCAGGTAATGCACTCGTTCATTCCTGCTGCCCCTGCTGCCGCTTCCCAAACACCCTGGGACAAGGATAGTCCCCTCCTCCACTGGGCAGATGAGAGGTGGACTTCCCGCCTGGGTGAAGAGGCAGTAAGAGGAGCAGGAGAGCTAGAAAAAGACGATGCTGGGTCGGGGGGCAGGCATATTCCCTGGATACTCACTCCCCACTTAGCTTCTGCACCAGAAGGCATTACATGGGAGTGTGATCACCAGCCCGTTGGCCTTCAAGGCACTGTTGGCTCTTCTTCCTCCTCTGTAGACTCCCTTCTCTAAACAGAGGTACTTATCTATTTAAAGTTCCTTCTCCCACTTTTCTTAATCCCAAATTAACACATCTGCCCATCAGAGCTTCAGTCGGGGGAAGGACCTGGCACTCCAGGAGCAGTCCCTCCACGGTTCTGCTGGTTTGTGTCCCAGCCCTGAGGCCACTTTTTTCCTAACATGCTGAGACCACCAGATGGGCCCTCATGACTGCCTTTTGTGAACTGCAAGGGGGTTCTGGGAGCCCTGTTTGGCTAGATGACCTGGGGCATCTCTGGCTCCACCACATTTTTGGTCCTGGGTTCCTGACCTGGCTCGCAGCTAGACAGCTGTGAGCCCTTGGGAAGTTCCTCAACATGGTAGGAGCTCTGCTTCCTCATCTCCAAATTGGAATAAAGTCTCTGTCACAGCATTGTTTTGAGGATTAGATGACGGATATAGAGTACCTGGTGCATGCTTAGCCCAGACCAAGCACTTAGGGAATGTGTGCTTAGTTGGTTTCTACGTCTCCCCTGAGCAGGAGAGGCAGGCATTTGGGGGATTCCATTCCTCACAGGAGCCCAAAGTAGCCTTAGCAATCATTTAGATCAGTCCTCTCATTTTTCAGATGGGGAAACTGAGGCCCAGAGAAAGGAGATCATTACAATAATAAAACTGCCAACCTGGTGTAGTGTGGTACCCATTTTATGCCATCCACTGCACCACACCCCACTTCACTTGGGAGCACAGCTTCAGTTAGAGAAGCAGGAGAACCAGGGCTCCTTTGTAACCACTTAGTTTTCAGTCTCCCCTCCTCAGGGGGCCTTACTTGGAGAAGAGGCCAAGAAAGAGTAGGGAGTGAGTAGTTGGGCAGAGTGCTCCTTGCGAGCCTGGGAGCCTTGGCTAGGGCACTGCCAGCCTGGGTGAGAGGGGAGTCAGTCTCATGCTCTGCAGCACCCTTATCGCCCTGATTAAGGAAGCTTATTATTAATAACAGAAACCCTGATTTAAACGAACACTTACTCTTTTCCAGGCCCCTGTTAAGCCTTTTCATGCCTTGGCTATTTTCTCTCTGAACAGCAGACAAATGACTGCCCTTCCTCCCCAGCAGATGGGGCAGAGGAGCTATCTTGCTTGTTCAGGAAGGAACAGCAAAAGGCACAGGGAGGGTCTGGGGGCACAAGGCAGAAGATGTTAAATAATCAGCTACAGGTGCTCTTAGCCTCGAAGAGACCCACAGATACCCCACTCTCATCTCAGCCTGCCCAGGACCCTGCCTCTACCCCTTTGCAAACGCTTTACTTTTCCCTGTCCTACCCTCAGATGCTGCCCCATCTGGAGAGAGGATCACCCCCATGGAGCTTTAGTAATGATATTATCAGTGCGTACAGCAATAACCAGGCTACCTAACAATAAACCCCTATTAATATCAGACATTAGCCCATAACATTGCCTCATGGCAACCCATTTTACAGATGGGGAGACAGCAACCCTCTGCATTGGAGTGCTTGCCCAGGCTCATGCAGGTGGGACGATTTGAACTATGGGTACCTCCATTTCCCTACCTGTAAAACGGGGCTCTAGCCTCACGAAGCCCTGCGGAAGGCTGTCTGAGACAAAAAAGGGTTCATAACAGTGCCAGACCCAGAGGAGGAGCTTCTTTCGCCACCAAGGCCAGGTTGAGTAGTGGCAACAGAGTCCAGCGTTTGGCCCTGGCAGATGTGTGTTTGCGCTCTCTAGGCTTTTGATATTGATTTAATTAACGCTTGTTTGCTTTTATTATGTACCACATTGATCTAAGTGCTTTATGCAGCTTAACGTATCTAATCGTCACATCAACCTTTAAAGTCAGGTACTGTTGGTAGCCCCTCTTCACCAATGAGGAAACGGAGGCTCCAGCAACGGACTCTCTTGTCTCACCGCCGCCCCGGGCACTCTCGCCGGAAGCCCCCCGCATGGCTTCTCATTTGGGCGCCTCTATATCTGAGTAGGGGGCTGAGGCGGACTTGGCTCAGCGGGG